CAAGAATGGGCCCGAGCGCGTCCTCGCGCCCCGCGCAGATACCGCCCCGCGGCCCACCGGCGCCCCTCGGCCCCCGCGCCACAGTGCCCTCCCCGTCCGAACTCTCCTGCCGACTGCCCACTGCCCAGCCCAGCTCCCAGACTCCCTCCCCTCCCTGTGGAGGAACGCCCCCTCTTTCTCAGGCTCCAGCTGTTCCACCTCCCAGCCGAGTCCTCCCGCCGCCTGAGCTCTCCGCCATCCGAGCTGATCAGAAACCTTTTTGCTCATGGGATCCCCTCTTCGGCCCTCACTGCAACTGAACGCCCTCCTCAAACAGAATCTCCAGCTAGTCCGGCCCTCTCCCCAAACTAACCTCCTTGCCACTTGAACCCCTCTTCCTATCCTGGCACCAACAGAGCCTGCTCCCAAGCGAAGAACCAGGATGCCCGATTTCCTGGCCCCCCTGCCCTCCAATCGGACGTCCCTCAACCCGAAGGTTCTTCCGTAGCATCCACCGACTCGGCGTTTGATCCTGAAGAAGCGGCCGGTCTCCCCACGTTCCCACTTCCAGGTAACCCCAAATGCCCCCGGCCGGCCCCTCCCCCTCGCCCGGTGCCAGGGCTCTCCTTCCAGAGCTGTCGAGCATCGAATCCGGGGCATTGCGTTCCCAGGAGAGGGTAAGAGGGGGACAGCACTGCCGCGGGGACCCCACCCCCAATCCCAGCCGGTGGGCTGCTGGTCTGCGGCAAGAGCTGCGGCGCCTGGCGGGGAACCGCAGCGGCCGGGCGCCCGGCGGGGGGTTTCTGGGTCAGGCGGCGACTCCGGGCCGCGGCCGCGTACCTCTCTTGGCCCGGCCGATCTGGCCCAGCTTGGGGGGTCGCTTGGCTTGGTTGCCCGCAAAGAAGGAGTTGGTGTCCTGGAGGCGGCAGCTGAAGGAGAGGTCGGAGCCCTCGGGGTCGGCGCCGAAGCGGCCCATCTTGTCCTCGCTGTAGGGCAGGATCTCGGACATGGCGGGCGCGGAGTGGGCGCGGGACTGCGGCGGGCGCGGACGGCGGGCTAGCTGCCGGACCGGCCCTGGCTCAGCGGGGCAGCCGGCGGAAGGATGAAGTCATGCAGCATCCGGGGCTGCGG